CCCCCCCCCCCCCCCAAACAAAAAAAAGCAAAAAAAAAAACATAAAAATAAAAATAAATCAGTATCTTAATATTTATTAATATGCCCCTCATCTTGATATTTGTTAAAATGCCCCCAAATCTTAACCATTGATTTTGTATGCCCCAATGACTTAACAAAAGATAAGGAATATTTTGAGAACATTCCTGTTGAGGTGCATACTAGTTCAATGTCGAAGGCTTGGGGGCATTTTAATTATTATCCAGATATGGGGGTTATTTTTAATAAATATGGATGATTGAAAAATGCTACACTGTTAGGTTAAGGCTTCTTAGAAATATCAAGTAGAAGTTAGGGGCTAACATGACTTTGACCTCTGTGTTATTGTAATGGGTTCACTTTTAACATTTCTCCCAATATTATCATGATCATTGGCAAAATATTTGTCCGCTAGGCTATAGCATGGGTGTCAAGGACACCCTCAACCTCAACGACACAGATCGGATTGACTACTTGGACGGATACTTAAGAAGTACACTACAGGCTATTAGGTATAACTGTCAACCCAACTTATTTCAGATACTACATCCATGAGAGAAGACCAAGAAAACGAATTAATCAAATTGTTGTTGTTTCCTCTTCTTTTGCTTACAGGGATGGATCAGACGTGAGAGGGTACTTTGTGTGGTCGTTTGTAGATGTTTTCGAATTTTTGTTGGGCTATGAATCAAGCTTCGGGCTGTACTACGTGGATTTTGATGACGTAGAGCGCAAGAGGCAGCCAAAGCTCTCTGCACGTTGGTACTCCAACTTCCTCAGAAAGAAGAAGAAAGATATCCTCATGCGGAAGAGTGGTCTTCAGGTAATGCACCATCAGCAGTGATGCGTATAGCTTAAAAGGAGTTCATTTGCTTCTCCGAAGGCAGCATGTTATTTTGGGTACATAACATGATAGTTATATCAAACAAAATTCTGTTTTCAGTTGTATCTTAGACGTCGGAAACGCTCTTTTTTCATGTTTTATTTTCAGTATAGCTACAAATATTGAAACCTCTACTTGTAAACAAAGGACATCATGGAAAGAACTGGCAAAAAATCATCACGTTTGTATCATAAGAAAAGAACTCACTTTGGTGATAGTAATGATAATAACAACAATAAAAACAATCTGTAGTAACTTATAAGAACTGAGGGACTACGTAGAAATTACGATAACTTGCGGGACTATATTAAAAATACAAAATATTCAAGGGACAAATATCTGAAATTTTATTTGGGTTACCTGTAAAAAATGAACTTGTGCTCTCTGTGTTCAGCCATATGAAATATAATGCAGAATGGTAGGAAAACGGTTCACACATTTTGTCGAACACCTCATCTGCAGCACTCAATTTCTGCCCGATTGCGGTTAAATATGGGAGTTTGGGAAATGAGGCATCATAGATCTGAGAATTGTTTACGATTATTATGAAGAGAGGTGAACAAGAAAATGATGGAAATGGAGATGGGTTTGCTTCAGTTTTAGCCGCAAGAGTAACTGCTCATAGAAACTGGTATTTTGGTCATTGAGGGACAAAAATGCAAAACCCATTAGTATTTGAGGGACTAATATCTAAATACCTTTAAGTTAAACTTTCTCTCCCAAAATTCATCTTGTTCCAAAAGGGCCATTTGCACTTTGACACACTAAAGTCTACACCTTTCTTAACTTCAATACCCCAGAAGTTTTTTGTGACGCTATGATGCCCTAAAGTTTACAAGTTGTTTAGAACTTGATAAATTAAAGTTTCTTGTGACACTTTGATACAACAAAGCTTATACCTTTTGACTTTGATACCCCAAAATTTTATGCTGGACACTTGAATATCCCAATGTTTGGGTATCAAAGTTAGATAACATGAAACTCTGAGGTGTCAAAGTTAAAAATTTTAAAATCTTGGGATATGAAAGTCAATAACTGTGTGAATTTTGGGTATCAAAGTGTGAGAAAAAACTTTGGGATATCAAAACTAAAATGCATATAGACTTTTGGTATCCAAGTGTCAAAACAAACTTTATTGTATCATATCACAAACTTTATAGTATCATATTTGAAAAAGATGTAAACTTTAGACTTTCAATCGCAGATAACCCTTAAAAAAACACTAGTTGTGAGGTATTTTGGTCATTGAGGGACCAAATTGCAAGACCCCTTGGGATTTGAGGGACTTATGAGCAAGTTCAAAATTTTGAGGGACTATAACAAAATTATTGAAGATTCAAGGAACTAAAAAGCAAAGATCAAATCTTTTGGTCATCAAAATTAACATTACATCCATCAATAAATCCATTAATCCGAGGATTAAAACTAGTTTAAATGTATGACCAGTTATATTTTGGATATGGATCTGAATATTTCACTACATATTAACACTCGTAAATCATATCCTATCGGATATGGATTTTAGTAACCATATTACGTACACTAATAGATAAAAAATACAGATATTTCTTCGGATCTTCTCATTAAAAAACTATCCTCTCTCTGAGGGTAAAAGAGTCAAAAGTTTACTAAGAGTTATATTTGTAAGGCTTCAACAATAGAACTATATGGATTCTATACACAATTGGGCGATTGTAAGAGGGTCTATCCGCAACTAATCCTAGAAACTAATTCAGTCTATTTATGCATAAGCATAATTAGGATATAGAGCGGATGAAGATTTAAAGTATGAAGAAATCAATGGATAAAAAAGCATCTTTATATGCTTTGGATGAGTGAGCCACAAATTTGAAACTAACCAGAGGCCCGACCGGGCATCTGGATAAGTGACGGCTAAAGATTTACAATCTTTTGCCAAATACAAAATTTTACAATAAGTTAGCATCTTAATTTACCAAATACAGAACTTACACAAGGAGGATTGTAAGCCCCTTATGAATTCAACGGATCTTGCAAATTGATCACTCAATGACCAAGATACCCCTTATGAATTCAACGGATTTTGGAGGGAACATAAGTTGAGGGGTAATTTGATCATTGAGGGATCAATATGCAAGACCCCTTAGATTTTGAGAGAATAATGAATTATGAGCAATTTTAAAGATTGGAGGGACTGATATGAAATTATTAAAATTTGAGGCTCCAATATCTAAGCCTTGTACCGGGGAGGAAATATTTTTCGCTTTTTCCCCAATTTGGTACATGTAAAGTTTGGAACTGCTTGGTCACATACTGGTCATTCTGAAAAAAATTCATACTCCGAATAAGTGAAATTTGATGGGTTGGCACTGTCACATATGGCAAATTATAATAATATACTCGAGATTTCATAGCAGATCATGCTTATGTCTACTTCTCTTCTGGGAATTCGTCTTTCGATTGGACAAGGAGGTAGTTAGAGGTGGAAACGAACTAAATAATTAATACATAGTTTGTTAATTGTTTGTTTAGCGATGCAATTTCAACATTTCATTTAAGGGCCTGTTCGTTTGTTTTCAAAAAAGCAAGAAATGGAAATGGAAATGGTGGAAATCTCAAAATAATCCATTTCTTCCATTTCCATCCCTAAAACTCACCCACAACATCCAATAAAATATTATTTTCATCCAACAACTCATCCACATCATCTAATAAAATATTATTTTCATCTAACCACTCATCCACCACATCTAATAAAATATTATTTTCATCTAACAACTCATCCATCACATCTAATAAAATATTATTTTCATCCAAACATCACTCAACTCATCTCTTTTTATTATTTCAAATCACTCACATCATCGAATAAAATATTATAACAATTCACCTCATCTCATTAACATTTCATTTCTTCCATTTCATCCCAAAAAGTTGTGAAAACACATTTCTTAATCTTTCTTCACATCAACCAATAATACAATGACAACTCATCTCATCTCATTTCATTTCTTATTTTTAAGAATGAACCGAACAAAAGAAAACAAGAAAACTACAGGAAATAGGTTTCTTATAATTCATTTCCTTATTTTTTTTCGCCAACCGAACAACATCAAAACTAGTTTTCTTAAAAAATCACTCACATCATCCAATAATAATGTGACAACTCATCTCATCTCATCTCCATTTCTTTGATTTCTTTTTTTTTTAGCCAACCGAACACTCCAAAACAATTCTTCATTTTCCATTTCTTTGATTTCCCATTTTTTTTAAGGCAAACGAACAGGCCCTAACAATAAGTAAATAATATTTAGTATTCACCTCATAGTCTCATAAACTAATAGAATTTAATTATATTCTATTCGTTTGATTATTAAATAGTAGTTTAAAGTCTCGTTCCTTATGAGGTTTGCTTCGGTGCTCCAAAAATAGTTTTTTTTATTTTTAAATTAACAAAAATAACAAATGAACTAACATAACAAAAGAGTATTTTAGTCTTTCAAAATTAACTTTCTACCTGCTTTCTATCCTAAACTGCTAACTAAATGCAGCGGAAGAAAAAAAATCAGCCAAGGGGATCACCGCCTTTGTTCCGCCACACAAAAAGAAAAAAAAAGACAAGAAATCAGAGAGAGAAGGAAAAACTTCTATAGTGTTCATGTGTGATAGAGATAGTGCATGCATGCAAACTGTAAGAACTTCTATAGTAAAAATTTTAGTCGGCTTGATTAATTAGCTTATAAACATGGATATTATGTTTTTAATTTAGTAACTAAAGCGACTACATCATCCTATATAATTAAAAAATTTACACGTAAGTTGTTGCTATGAAAGCGACTACATCATCTGCAACGAAAGCAACGAAAGCGCGCGACTACATCATTTGCAACGAAAGCGACTACATCAAACTAAATAATTAAAAAATTTTAAGCATAAGTTGCTGCAACTAAAACCACCACATCATATTATATAATTATTATTTTTTTAAGAATAAGATGGGAGTACCTTTCATGACGTTCCCTTCACGAGATTTTTTGGAGACGGAGAGTGCGGAGCGTTATCTTCAAGAGAGGAACTTTTTTTTTCTACAGGAAAGTACGGAGCATGACTTGATAACACGGTAAAAAATTGTAACGTGAATTGGAGAATTCTAACTAATCATAAATTATGTTTCTCTCCTAAATTGTATTTCCTAAAATAACTTTTTTACCTATAGTTAATTACAATCTTGGGTGTGGAACACCTTCTAACCGTCAAATCTATCTACCTAGAAGTATGAGAGCTATTTTTAAGGAAATTATGTATAGATATGCCACCGGTGCTCCAACAAATCTTCATGGAGCACCGAAGCTGTAGGCTTTTTTTATTTAAGTTTTAAACTAATTTTCATAAATAAAAAAGCCCTGCGTCAGTTTTTAAACTAAGTTTATTTAAAAAAATAAAATTATCTTTTTAATTGCATAGTTTAATATTTATAAGTCATAAATTATTTAGCAAATAAATATACCGCAGCAATAGATAAAGATTCATGAGCATGCATAAATTTTCTGTGTTTGAATTAGAATTTGAAGTATTCAAATGAATATAGTTATGAACATCTTTGTAATCGATTCAATTCGTTTTCAGCCCTAATTAGGAGGAATCTAGAAATAAGTAAATTGCTCATAGAAATCCCACATTTATATATAAAGAGAAATTAATGAACTATTGCTAAATGCACAAAAATATGACATGTGCTAAAAAAATTGCCACTTGTTTATCTATTCTATCAGAAACTGACATGAAACACCAAATCATGTTTTTGTTTATGAATTCTCATCAAATTAAAACTATCAATAATTAAAATTTTCTAATGATCGATACATGGCGAATCCTGGTAAAGAGCATTGGAATGCTGTAAAAAGGGTTCTAAGATACATTCAAGGAACCTCAAATGTTGCATTATGTTATGGGGGATCTGACTTTATTGTCAGTGGATATGTTGATTCTGATTATGCAGGTGATCGTGATAATAGCAAATCCACCACAGGCTATGTGTTTGCACTTGCTGGCGGAGCTGTAAGCTGGGTTTCAAAACTGCAGTCAGTTGTTGCTACTTCAACAACAGAAGCAGAATATGTAGCAGCTACACAAGCTAGTAAAGAAGCGATGTGGTTGAAGATGGTGCTGGAGGAACTCGGTCATGAACAAAAGAAGATTGCTCTATTTTGTGACAGTCAGAGTGCTTTGCATTTGGCAAGAAATCCAGCCTTTCATTCAAAGACCAAACACATTCGAGTTCAGTACCACTTCGTTCGTGAAAAAGTGGAAGAAGGAACAGTGGATATGCAGAAAATTCACACCAAGGACAACCTAGTAGATTTTTTAACAAAAGCAGTCAATACTGATAAATTCATTTGGTGTAGATCCTCTTGTGGTCTGATGGAGACGTAAGCAACATGAAGAAGGCAAGATAGAAAGAATGGTGTGAAGATATGATTGATACTCAATCAAATCTTCAAGTGGGAGATTGTCAGCAGCCTTAACCGCCCACATGCTAAATTATCCAGCCACCAACTTTGAAAATGAAAAATAAAACAAAATGGTGGGGCCCACAGCTACAGTAAAATATTAATATTTTATTGTGCATAGTGTTTTTCTAAAAACTATAAATAAGGTTCCAAATCCTTAAGGAAATCTCATCCCAGAAACAACTTCTTATATAGAAGAGTGAGAGAGAAAAAAAAAGAGAGAGTTTGTAACTCCAGAGTTTTCTCCTCATAGTGAATTCTTCTATTCTTGCCCGTGGACGTAGGCAATCAAGTGCCGAACCACGTAAATCTGTGTGTCCAACATTTTAGCTCTATTTTTGCTCTACTATTGCTGCGATCCTGCTCTATTAGGCCCCGGGTTTGTCCCAACAAGGTTGATGTATCCACTACGTGGCATGATTTTGTTGGCTTGTCATCATTATGATGAGATTGGATGCCATCATAAAAACCCCGGAGTATCAATGCGGACTTCAACTATTTTAAAGGATTTAGGAATCTAATTCCCAAATATTAAGCTTAATTTTGGAGATTAATTGGAGGTTTTTACATAGAAAAAACTCCAACAAGTTGATGGCATACATCAGAGCGGTCAGCTATTAGTGAGGATGCACTCTTGAGTTTTAGAAACACTGTGCATTTAGCTAAGACATCAGGTTAAGGTAAAATCTTGAGAAGAGATTGAACCTGAATGTGGGTATCATTAGGTGCGTGTTGACCGCTGCAATCCATTTCTTCTTGAAACTGAGATCTATAAATTCCATAAATGGAAATGCATCACCATAAATCTTTACATCTTCAGCTGCGTAAAACGGATGCAATATCACCGTCAATTGAAGTACTGCAACATTTTAGTTTTTATTAAGTTAGATTCCTATGCAACTGAATTAGTAGGCGACTATTCCATAAATGTTAATTGCCAACTTGCTAGACTTCTATGTGGAACTAAGTGTTGAGATGGCGGAGCAACAGGTGCTGATGAACCAATAGGATCTATTCCGACGCAAAGGAACTACACAAAGTGATAACTTGCAAAGAAATCTGAAGACAAGCAGAAACACAACGATAATCACACAGAAAAGTAGAGACAACCACAAAGACGAAGATATAAATACCGGCAACTAGGATCTGAGTTTCCTGAGGACATAAATGGAACTCAACTGATCTAAAACCCTATTCATTTTCCTCATAGTTATTAGATCTCAACGATCGATAATATAAGGAATCAAATGAGCAACAGATAACTGGTTCCAGTTCCTCACGAATCACTTGCAACATGTAGGCTAGTGTTTTTTTTTAATCTATCTTTTCCGCAAAGATGTCAAACTCATGAGTGATCTAGGACTAGAAGTCTACAGATTTTCCATCTGCTGGCCAAGAATTCTTCCAAGTACGAAGCATCAACGTCTTCAAATATATTGTGGACAAGGTACTTAGAACATCAAATGTATATCACGAATGTTCGTGGTGCAGATGGCTGAGGAGTTGTCAATCCAAAAGGCCTCAAGTATTATAACAATCTTATCAACGAGCTGATTAAACATGGTACATGTCTATAGTGGATTCTTAATTTATAGAATTGTTAGTATGAGAATGACTGAGAACACAAACTTTTCATGTAAAGTAAATCTATGGAAAGGACTGAAACACTTGATATTGTGCCATCATATAAAATCTGTAAATATGTATGGATAGTTTCCAAATGGATGCCTATCTGGACTTAATAGTCTATATTTCTAGCTTTTGTAAAAATTTCTAATTCATGTTATTATTATTATTATTATTGGGTGGACTAGGAATTCAGCCACATATCACACTTTGCCATCTAGATCTTCCCCACCACGTCTTTGAAGAAGAATATGCAGAATCGTTGAGCACTACAATTATGTAATTTCATAGGATTCTAATATCTCAGATGTTTGAAATAACCACTTATACTGGAAGCTTCTAGAAATTTGTAAAAATTAATGCAGAGATGATTTCAAAGAATATGTGTAGGCTGTCTAAAAATCACAACATATAGCTGATCCCATCAAACACTGATGATGGAAGTTACAATCTGACGACTTCCAGAAGGCTATAATTTGAAAGACTTTCACGTAGATCGATGAATGTTACAATCTGACGACCTTCGTAACAACTGATGAAAGCTCTAATTAACAGCCTTCATAATAAACATCGGGAGTTATAATCCGATGACTCTCATATTTTCAAGGAGCCAAGATAAAGATTACAAGATGACGGTCTTTGCAACGCTCTACAGAAGAGGTTACAAGTCAACTAGCCCCTTCTAAACGCAGAAGTCATCTCCGCGTTTCAATTCTTGAAACGCAGGCGACCCCCGCGTTTCCAACCTTCAGCAAATGAAACGCAGGCGACCCCCACGTTTTCAACCTTCAGACTCCAAAACGCGGGTGGCCCTCGCGTTTTTCAACGTCCAGCGGGTGCTCAACTCCGTGTCTCCAGTCTAAAACGCGGAGTTAGGGTCTTGAACGCCAACTTAGGCGTTTAACTCGTTCAAAGAACGAACTGAACGGTTTCAAAACCGTTTTCCCCACGATTTGGGAAGCTGTTTAAGGGGACGGTTACACCCCATTCAGCCCCACTTAGAAGCGAATTAAGGGGACGGTTATACCCCTTAATCCCCTATAAATAGTGGGAAACTCAACTGAGTTCGAGCTGAATCTTTCGTCCTTCAACAGGGGAGCAAAGAAGGGATCTCGGCTAGATTTTTGGCAGGAGGTTTGGGCTCTCGGATTCAGCATTCTTTTCCATCCTCGGGCTTGGCAACAAAGAAGAGGATTTGGGGAGATCAAAATCACGAAGGAGATCGACATTCATCTTTGGGAGCTGTTCTTGGAACATTCGTTCTTGGCTATAACCGACTTTCGGTTCAAATCAACTCTTTTTCAAGAGTTTAAACTCGATCTGAGTTATCAACTCGTCCAGAGTTTCAAACTTGTCACGCAAGTTCTCCACAGCGTCAAATCGTGAGGAGAAGATATCGTTCCAGTGAATTAAGATGTTCGGATCGTCAACGGAGAGCAAACTCGACGCGAGCATTCGAGGGAGGCACTCCATCGCCACCATAAAGAACCCAGAATTAAACAAATGGGAGAATCCAGATCATTCTCCTCTCTTTTGTAATCAGGAAATCCAATTGTAATCGAGATTGAGAGAGTTGTAATCCTTCTTTTTCTAAGCAGTTAGAGAGAATAAATCAAATACGGTTCTTTCATTATTTTTCTTATTACAAATTTTCCACCAAACAATATGCACAGAGAATTCGGAGATAGGGTTTCTCACTGGACTATGATTGTCGGACCCAATATAATAGCCCAAGCATCCTATGACACTGGAATTTTTCCACCGCACTGCTGTTCTTATCCTTTTGGAGCTAATTTTTGCTCAGCAGGGAATTCTACATTGGAGCCTTTATATTGCAGTTCGCAACATGCTCTTAGCTCATTCGGCAGTTGTCAACCTATATCAAACCAAATATCAAGTCTTCACATTCTACACCCCTTTTCAGTTTTATCCCATTACTTTGAATGCAGACAAAACATTCTCATACTGTTGTAGCTTCGTATGCAGGCTATGTAGAAGGGTTGCGTAGGCTTGAATGGCTATACCTTTTGGTTCTCTCCTTTTTCAAATTCCTCTGCCGATGTTGAGGCAACTCGAAGGGTAATGGATTTATGGTTGGATGGTAAGTGCATGACGTTGTATAACATACTTCCAGTCTTGAGTTATCCTGTCTAAAGAACTACTTTGTTCAAGGATTATCAACCGGTAGTGTTTGGGGAGAGAGATCATGAAGAAAATTGCCGGTCAGAGGACTTCCATCTTTCACCAAAGGAAGATCAGAACAGAAGTGTTCATTTGACTTTATTGGATTGAACCACTACACATCAGCATATGTCAAGGACAACTCCCATGGTCCTATCTCTGGCCTTCGCGACTTCCCTGCAGACACGTTTTCCATAGTTACCAGTTTTGTTTCTCATTCTTAATAGGTTTTTGGATTATATGGACAATAATAGTCTCTAACTCTACAAACCAATGGTCACATCTGTTGAAGAGTCTAAGAAAAATACAGATGCACAACCTCGTCTGGCAAAAGTTTGACATCATCTTACATCATTTGGCTATTTGTAAGTTCATCTTTTGGCATGATACACTAGCATTAGCTAATATTACCAGTTCATCCCAGCTGACATAAACAGCGATCCACCTGGGCTTTAAAAGATAAAGGAAATCCACCCGTTTACATCCAAAAGAATGGTAATCGTCCTCTTCATTCCATCAGAATGCACATGAACCTTGTGCAAGAGCGACAATCAAACGCATCCTCTTAACACAATCACACATCTCTTCTGTAATAGATAGCAGATGTTCATAAAGCATATACTGCGTGTTGAAAAGATTTACAGTAGTGAATGCAAAACCATGATTTTTTATTTTTCATTTAAGGCCTATTATTACTACAAGTCTACAACTAAAATTATCTATTATATATAGGTGGCTTTTGGTATAACTGCCAGACTAGCCTATCCACATACTTGCATCCATGAGAGCAGACCAATAAAGTATATTAATCAATTTGATATTGCTTTTTTTCCTTCTTTTGCTCATGTTGGAAGGAGCAAATGTGAAAGGGTGCTTCGTGCGGTCATTTGTAGACCTTTTCGAACTTTTGTTGGGCTGGGAATCAGGCTCTGGCCTGTACTATGTGGATTTTGATGATGTAGAGCGCAAGAGGCAACCAAAGCGCTCTACACATTGGTATGCCAATTTCCTCACAAAGAACAAGAAGAATGATGACATCCACATACAGAGAAGTGGTTCAGGGAATGTATCATCAGCAGTACTGATGTGTGTAGAAGACTATGAATTCATAAAACCTTCAAGAGAAGCTGGTTATTTTGGTCACAAAAATGATTATATTGAATAAAGTTCTCTTTTTTGTTGTATAAATGCTTTCATCTGAGCCTCTGACTCTGAGAAACTGAAAGGGTCTGCTTCTTGTTTTCTTTTCAGTACAAGGTAAAAAGCAGAAAGAATTACATAAAATCATAAAATTTGATGACAGTAATAATAACAACAATAGTAATTACAGCAAATAAATGAAGCAAGCATAGTTGAAAATGTTATTTTGATTACCTGTGTAACTAGAAGCTAGATTTCCCTCATTGCTCCAACTTAAAGATGAACTTGTGCTCTCTGTGTTCATGAATGAAATGTAAGGAAGAGCTGTAGGAATACCGTTCAGAAATTTTGTTGGACTCCTCATCTGCTGCGGTCAATTTCTTCCTAAATTTCTTCCTAAATGTGGTTTAATCTGGCAATTTAAGGAATTGGGCATCTTAGATTAGAAAGTTTGTGACAAAGGCAATAACACCTACGGAAATGAACAAGAAATTGGTGGAATGGACATGGTCTTAATCTGGATGATGAAAAGAGCAAGCGGTTTGATTCATTTGCAGTTGCCGCCATATGCAATCCAAATTTAATCGGTTACCCATCAACCCGGTAACCTGTATATCTAAACCTTAAATGTCACTTATGACTTTAGATGTTGTACTTCTAATGGAAAATTAACAAATCACATATGCTCCTTTTTTATATTTAACACATACGTACCAATTACACATACAATAAACCTTCAAGGCCCTACCTTTTTTCTATAGAAGAAACAAAGTTTGCGCTATTCAACAAAACAACAAGACACCCAAATAAGAAAAAGAAAAAAAAAAATCAAGAAATATGCTATATCTCGTCCATTTTTTGATCTAATGTGGGGACTTATCACCTATGCTACCTTGGTATTTTTATTCCGGAGTAGTACCCGTATTGGACACGTACGTGTTCCATACCAAACTTCTTGGACACTTCTTACATATATGCATAGGTTTATTCAGGCGTTCTCATGCACTTGGACATATATTCTACACTTCACATCTATTTCTTATATATTGATCTCATGTAAATGAGAAAACAATATTGATCTTATGTAAATTGTTAATTTTAATATATATATATAAATATGCATACATACATATATATAGCCGTGTCCCTGTAACCTATCTTTTACAAATTTGTTGTGCCCCATATACCCGTACCAATACTTGTATCCATGCAACTTAGCTTATCACACATTAAACAAAGAGAGATGGGGCTTCTTCCTTCTTCATTGGCTCTGCTTCTAGCTATTGCTGCTCTGGGCTTCTAGCTTCAGCAAGGAGACTGCATCAGAAGAAGAAAGCATAATAAAGTTTGAACTTCAATAAGTTTCTCGCATGCTTTTAGTCTTAGTATCAGACTGAAAAAATTTACACTAAAAAAGTAGTGGACCAATGCTATACGTTATGATTTTAAGGCCTATGAATTTTTGCAGTTGGATTTTTTTTATCATATCCCGCTCATCATAGTTCATTTTCTAAAAGAAAATTTTAGACATCTAGGTGCATAGAGAGCTATAGGTATAAGGCGTTGCCTTTATTTTGATTTTGTATCATCGTAACAGGACTTGCAATCTATAAGGTGTATATATAGCATGTAATGAAATAGTCAAACTGACTTAAACATCACTTATAGTTTCTCATATTACAGTAACAATTCACAAGTAACTGTGCAATAAATTTTAAACTATCGATAAAATGAATTTGATATGGTACCAGGGACACCAGGTTTTTGGAGATCCTAAGTTTAAATCACAATTAGAGATTTAGAGAGAGTATTATGAACTAATATTAGCTTGATGCATACTATTAGTCCACAATATAAAAGGTTGGTTGTAGACAATGTCTCCTATCAATAAAATAACTATATTGATCCTTAAGAGTTATCTATAATATCTGTGTGCATGTATAAACGTTCTAGCTTCTTATTTCTCTATGCTTTTGTTAGTGTTTAAAAAGTTGACTAATTTGATAGGGAAATATAGGCGGTCTAAAAATCATAACAAATAGTTGATCCCCATCAAACACCGATAATAGAAGTTACAATTCGACGACTTTCAGAATGCTACAATTTGAAGACTTTCACATAGAAGGTTACAATCTGACGACCTTCACAACAACTAATAAAAACTCTAATTCAACAGCCTTCACAATCAACATCGGGAGTTACAATCTGATGACTCTCATATTTTTAAGGAGCCAAGACGAAAGTTACAAGGTGACGATCTTTGCAACGCTCTAGCAAAAAATACTACAAATTGACGGTCTCTTCATATCAAAACGCAGATATCTCTCAAACCGGAAGGAATTTGGCGAAACGGAGGAAGCAAACCGAACCCTATGGGGTGGGTTTGGTTGGCTCCGTCTCGTCGAGATAGCCGATTTTCATATATAATTCATCACATTCCGACTTACGGTTTGAAAGTTATGACCTGTTTTTCGCAGCAAGTTATGTTCTAAAGTCCGTCTGTGAGACTACACTTCGCATGAACATTGGAGTTAGCTTGAAGCTCGCCGAGCCCGCCTGAGGCTCACCTCTGCATCCAATATTCAAAACGCAGAGGTCATGCCCGCGTTCTAAACTCAAAACGCAGAGGTCGTGACCGCATTTGAGATTCAAAATGCAGAGGTCGTGGTTGTGTTCCAAACTCGAAACGCAAAGGTCGTGGCTATATTGCAGAGTCAAAACGCAGAGTTCGTGGACTCAAAACGTAGAGTTCATGCAGAGCCCAACCCTACGTCTCAGGTCCAAAATGCAGAGTTCATGCAGAGCCCAACTCTGCGTTTCAGAGTTCACAACGCTGCGTGACCTGTGCGTTTTCAGCCTAAAACAAGTCCAACTCTGCGTTTGATGTCTAAAACGCAGAGTTCGGGCCCAAAACGTCATTTTCGGCGTTTGACTCGTTCAAACACGAACTGAACAGTTCCAGGAACCGTTTTTTCCCCACTATTTGAGGGATTTCTGTCCTACTTAGGAGTGGATTAAGGGGGCAGTTGCCACCCTTAATCCCCTATAAATACCAGAAACTCAATTGAGTTAAGGGATCGGCTTTTTTGCATCAAAAATAGATCGTAAAAGGAGAGATAGACAACCTCTTGAGCAGATCATCTTTGGATCTTAGAGATTTCTCGGATCTGGAGATCAAAAAAGGGGGGGTCTTCGCTCAATCTCTTGAGCTTTCATCCTTGGCTTATTAACCGATTTTCGGTTCAAATCAACTCTGTTACAGAGTTTAAACTCGTTCTGGGTTCTAAAACTTGTTAAGAGTTATTTTCAAACTTACCATGCAAGTCATCCTCAATATTAATCAAGAGGAATCAACCATATTCCAGTGAAACAAGACGTTCGGATCGTCAACGAAAAACAAACTCGACGCGAGCATTTGAGGGAGACATTCCATCGCCACCGTGAAGAATCCAGACTTAAACAAATGAGAGAATTCAGATCAATTCTCCTTTCTTTTATAATCGAAAATCCAAATTGTAATTAAGATCGAGAGAATACAAATCAAATTTCTTTCATTCTTTTTACTACAAACTTTCCACCAAACAGTAAAGTTAAAAGACAAAAGCACCGGTGATGTGGCTTCCAATGGCTCTTCAAACCTTGGCTGTTCGTATGTGCTGTTCTTATCACCCATTGCCTTTTATTATGCAAGCTTCTTGCATTCATTTTCAGTAGATCATCATTGCTGACGGTCCTGCCTAGCTCCCTTACAAACAAAAGGGATTTCTTTATGATCATCTTTTATGTATTTAATTATATATCATGTTTTCCTTGACCTAACCTACTGAACCTTTTAGTAAAGAAAATTGGATTTGAAGATAGTGCTTATTAATTAGACTACAAAGGAATGTAGTCATGGAACAGGAATTTTTTGGCCTGTCATCGGTATGATGAAGATTGATGCCTCAACAAGCAGCCAGGAATAACATGATACAGGGAAGATTACAAATACGATTACTTGTGAAGGTGTGCTTGTATGTTGAATCCAATCCCTTTGAAAACCACTATTTTGATGCCTCTACTTTGACCATCTCTCTTCAAATTAATTTGCATCTCTGACCAAATTTCCTTAAAATACTATGATTGTTTTATTATAGTTAATTGTGAAGCAAGCATTTTCTTTTTAGAAAGTGGTCCATGAAACAAATCAGTTATTAATATAATGATGTCATTTCACTATTTATGTCGACGATCATGTCGAATATATAGTAGAATAAGTGAGGAAAACAAATAAAATAGGAGATTTTCTCAGACCTTGAGAAGGGGAAGGAAAAAAAATCCATCCCAAGCATTTCTCTTCATTCAATTTCATGGTTGATCACCAGAATGCAAATATTTCAACTAATCTAGTAAATTATTTTCAAAATCTAAGATTGTAAATGTTTGTTGCACTAAAAATCACAGAAACACATCAACTTGTCCTCAAACACACCCCCAACCCCTACCCCACCCAAGAAAAAAATGCACACAAAGTAACAATGTTAAATCTAACGGGTCATGTCCTGTCACATAACTCAAAATAGACCAAAATACCTGTAGGCAACAAAAAAATCTGGCTTTTTTGAATTAGAGTTTTTAAGAGAAAAAAAAATTAGTTTATTGAATAACAACATCCACAAAACATAGGGGTGGCGTGATGAACGGTCGGTTTAGGCTGTGGACCTAGTGTGCGTCAGGGAGAGTTAACTAGTCTGGCTGATCCAGAGGCGGACTATTACTTATCTCAGGTCCCTGGACTAGAACTAGGAGACGGTACGAGGCAAGCGGAGGACAGTCAATGGGTCGTGGTGATCCATGGCGTTTTTTTGAACTTTTTCATTTTTTCATCTAAACCCTATATTAACTTGTATCCATATTTGTAAAATTATATTTATTTATTTGTATTCAAACCTACTCTTTATTAATGATATATATATATATATATATAATATATATATATTATATATATATATATAATATATATATATTATATATATATATATATATATATATATATATTATATATATAATATAATATATATATAAATAGATAGTATAAATAGATATATACAATTTGACCTTGAAAGTATACTGATGCTGAGGCTATTATTTTTTGCTAAACAAAATAATGTTTATAATTAGACCCTGGGTGGGTGGGGTAGGTCAGGCCGAGTTGGACTGGAGGATTGGTGGTAGGCCTGTTCTTTCGTCTAGTTAGATCAACTGGGACGAATTCGTACAATGTAAGCCAGCTCGGGTTTAGTCAAACACACAGACGTACCATCGGGCTGGCCAAACTCAAGAACTCTGGTTCAAAAGGGGGGGACACATAAATCATAGCTAACTTTGTTTGTGGGAACAATTGAAATTTTAGGGGGTTTTGTGGAACACCTGGAAGTTCATGGGCTTTTTTTTAATGATTTCTCAAAGTTGTGGAACACCCTTAAGTTTTCTTTGTTTTGAGGCGTGAAGGGTTGAAAATTAACCTTAATGATTCAGATTGCGAAGAAAATAGGAGGATACACTGTAATCCACGCTCATTATCATAGTCATGCGGAGCATTCCAAATATCTCAACCATGTAAACATCAATAAATATGCTATCATCTATGAAGTCATACTATTTGTCTGCATATCCTTTAGGAAGTACCTGCCTCCAATGGATCCAATAAAAGAGAATTAGGGGAACCCAGAAATGAGCTGACTAAAATTATCATAGAGATGAGGCTTCTTCCTTATGCATTGTTTCTCCTTCTCCTTTCCAAACTAGCCATTGCCGATTTGGGCTTCAGCCAGCAGACTGCAACTAAATATAGGAGAGATGATTTCCCGTCTGAGTTTTTTTTTGGGGCAGGGACTTCAGCTTATCAGGTCAGTATAGATAATGGTATCGGTCTAATCAATTTGCGAGCTAATTATACGTTAGCTTTTTTGTATGATTTGGTAGTGCTATGTTATTTATTCAGTATGAGGGGGCAGCAGCAGAGGATGGGAGGAGCCCAAGTATTTGGGATACTTTCACACATGCAGGTACCATGCAGTGCAATCATGTTTCCTTTAGGCTAGTCCAATAAATTGATAAAAGAATGCCATTTTGGTTAAAATTGTGTGTGTGTGTGAGAGAGAGAGAGAGAACACAAAAAATTTGAGTTCAATGAAAACACAAAAATATGAGTTCAATAAGTTTCTGTCATCCTTTTGTCTTAGTGTCACGGTAACCTTACGCACTTTGCAGAAGAAATATACGGGAACCAGTACAACAATCTATACCTTACAGTTTTAAGACCTGTGAATCTGTTGCAGTTGGATTTTTTTAGTCTAAGACTGGAGTTTCGCACTCATTATTGTTTATTTTGTAAAAATAAAATTTTAGAGGTATACGTTCTTGGTTAGCCCAAAAGGTCCTGCAGTAGTACCATGGGCAACTTGTTTTTTGTGTTGTTTATATACTGTTATAACTGGATTTGCGATCTGTAAGTGGTTTGCTTGTAAGGTAAATGATTTGGCCAAGTTGACTGAAACACCACTATAATCTCTAATATTACATCTCAAAGCTAAATGTGGGAGTCCGTTAAGAACTAACATCAGTTCGATACAAAGTTTAAGATCGGTAAGAAGATTTTTAATATGGTATTAGAGAAAATCAGGTTCCTAGAGATCCTAAGTTCAAAACACTAGAAAGAGCATTATTAGCTAATGTTAGCTTGATACATATTATCAGTCCACAATATAAAAGGTGGGCTTGTAGAGTTGTTGACAATGTCCCGTTACACTATCAACAAAAGAACTATATTATCATTGAGGGTTGTCTATATCACTATTGTCTATTTTGCTGTTTTTTCCCAGACTTTTATAGTTTATTAACGTGTGTGTAATATTCTACTTTCATTTTGCGCTTTGTTTTTGCCGGAGTTTTAATAGTTGTTTAATTTGACAGGGAAGATGCCAGACAAAAGCACAGGTGATGTGGCTTCTGATGGCTACCACAAATACAAGGTATGATCCTCTCTTCAGATCTGGACCGTTCATCTACGGCTTTCACATCATCCATTGTTGACCTTTGCTTTCTCAGCTTCAAGCACTCATTTTCAGCATATCGTCATTGCTGACAATCACTAATCATATTTTTTAATTCCACATTCAAGCAAAAATTTATGATTACTAGCCAACATGCACGTGACCTTAAAAAAATTGTTGCAAGAAAAATTATGAGTTATAGAATAATGTCTTATCCTAGTTGTAAAATTTATTCAACACAACCTCAAAGAAAAAATTCACTGAATTTTAAATCTATCATCTTTTTGAACTATTTAACATTCTTTGCATTTTTTTTAATACATTTTTAATTAATTATAAAGCACGTAGGAATATAGTTTCTACTTCAGAGTCTAATATTGAATTATGATTAATTTGGAGGTTTTCAATCAGCAAAACAAAACATTGTTACACACAAGCCAGATCAGTCAAGTACTATTAGCATGCATTCTCTAGTTCGAGAAACACTTTGCATTTAGCAAAGACATTAGGTTAAGGTTCAAAGCTTGAGAAGAGATTGAACCTGAAGGCGGATATCGTAGGTGTATGTTCACTGTTACTGTTCACTTCTTCTTGAAACTGAATTCTGTGAATTCCATTAATGGAAATACATCATCATAAATAGTTTGTTCTTCAGCTGCAATAGATGATGCAAAATCACCTTCAATCAACATTTTGCAACATATTGAACTTTTGCTTCTCCCTCCCCCCCTCCCTTCCTCCCTCTCTCTCTCTCTCTCTTAAACATGGAGAACACCTGTCAAAATGCATTATACATGCTATCAGACTATTACAAATTGTATAGGATAATACCTATTAGATCACTTCTTACCAATAAGTAACTCATTGTTTGGGTTTGGATGTTAAATTTCAGATTTTTAGTGGTTATTCAGGTGGATTAATTCTATGCAACTGAAGTTGGAAGTAACTGTTGCATAAGCCTTAGTTCACCCTAGCCAAGCTTACATTTGGAACTAGGGCTCGTGAGTCTTGTGTTGACTCAAATCAAACTCAAGAGGACGAGTGCTGTACAACCTTACTCATTTGTGCCATAGTTATGAAAACTCAGTGAAAAAACAAGATCAGAAATCGAATGAGAACAGATAGCTTGTAATAGCTCCTTAAAAACCATTTGCATCAATTTGGCTTAGTGTTGGTGTATCTTTTTCTGCCAGTAACATATTTAATCTTTCAGGAAGATGTCAAGCTTATGAGCGATCTAGGACTGGAAGCCTACAGATTTTCCATCTCTTGGTCAAGGCTTCTTCCAAGTATAAAACATCGTTGTTTTCAGATACATCATGGATAAGATATTTAGGATACGAAGTTGACATCATGAATTTTTTTCCCCCAGATGGAAGAGGAACTGTCAATCCAAAAGGCCTCAAGTATTATAATGATGTTATCAACGAGCTCACTGAACATGGTAACAGTCCATGGAGGATTCTTAACTAAAAGATTGCATCCTAAGGCTTATTAAAGAAATGACATTTTACAGAGAGCACAAAGTTTTAATGTGAAGTAGATCTCTCGAAAAGTGTGAAACACTTGATACCATACTATCTATAGATGAGGAAATTTTCAAAACAGCCCCAAAAAGATTTTTATTTTTCAAAATCGACCCACTTTTTTTTTATTTATCAAAATCGACCCACTTTTTGTCACGTGGGCTTAATGAAGTTCCTAAACAATCGGGGTTGACAACCCCGACTGTTTAGGAGGGTGTTAAACCCCAATTAGAACCCTTAAACCCGAAATTTTCATGTCCTAAACAGTCGGGGTTGGCAACCCCGACTGTTTAGGAACTTCATTAAGCCCACGTGACAAAAAGTGGGTCGATTTTGATAAATAAATAAAAATTGGGTCTATTTTGAAAAATAAAAAACTTTTTGGGGCTGTTTTGAAAATTTCCTTATCTATAAATCTATTCCTCTATAATAATGGGAGGATTCAAGATTCATTATTCATGCTACAGTAAATACTACAGTAAAATATTGTACCATTGTTACTGTAGCACAAACAGGAGGATCCAAAGTTTACTATTCATGCTAATAAAATATTGTAGCATTGTTGTTGTTGCACAGGTTGGAACCGCAACATTTAAAAACATTACTGTAGCATCATCACTGTAGCTCGGGCGGGATACTTTAGCATTAAAAATATTACTGTAGCACTTACAAAAACTGTATTTAAATACAGAATTACGCGTAGCGGAAATAAAAAATGGAGGCCGTGCTTTGCATGGGGTGCACACTAGTTCTATACTGTACAGAAAAAAGGATTGCTATATCAGAACTTTTGATTGCCTCTTTTTCCCTCTTTTGATAAATCTCAATTTTGCACATTACAAATGATTAAATATTAATTATCAAATAATCAAATTAAAAATTAAATCTTTTTATTTTTCATCCAAAAGTTAATAATACTACATTGTATATTAAATGCCAATTATCAAATGATTGAATTATATGATTAAATGCACATTATCAAATGATTAAATTAAAAAATAATTTTTTTGTTTTTTTCATCCAAAACTTAATAATATTACATTTTAGATTATTATATAATATAAAATAAATAACAACTATAATTATTTAAACGCTTTCTTTTTTTGTATCTTAATTAGTACATAGTTCTTTCTTTCTTTCTTTCTTTATTACTTTTTATTCATTTGCCTTATAAATAAATATTTTGTAGTTGTTATCATATAAATAAGATAGGACATATATTGGAATATAATATTAGATATATTTTGGATAATTTTTTTATAAATAAATTATTTATTATTATATTAATAGTAAATTTATTAAAATAAAAAAATAAATATTAAAATATTAAGATAAATGTAGCAATACACAATTTTATAATTATGCACACTTTTCTTTTCCATCATTAAAAAACTAAACTCAAAACATAAAACAAATACATCCATGTGCAACACACATGTACTATACTAGATATACAACACATTCTAAGTCGTTACAGTTTAATAAACAAAGGGGCTAAGACTTTTCATAAATTATAATAAATTTTATCATATTAAATATAGAATTAATATAATTTTATTTTATATTTAAAAGTATATATATTATATTGTTATATATAACTATGTTGTTATATATATTTAAATAAAAATTAATAAATTGTTTAAATATAAATTAATAAATTGATATATGTTAACATACTATTTGCACTTAATATTTTTTTAATTCTTTACTTTAGATCATTTTTTCTTTCGAGTCACTTTATCAATTTTTTGTCCACAAATGAAATTGTCGGCACTATGTTGCATGGGTACGGATATGGATACGAGACACGACAAATTTGTAAAAGTTAGGGTACGGGGACACGGCTAAATAAATATTTATATGCACATATGCTATATCTTGGAATAAATAATTTATTTGAGAACAAGGACGAGAATTCCTATAACATTTTTATGTTTCTATTATTTTGCGGATTATAAATAAGAAATCACTAGTTTTTGAACAAGACATCCAAACGACTCTTAAAAAGCATAATTCAGAATTAGACTTATGTATTACAAGTTTCAAGAAGTGGATGTGTAGGATATATGTCCAAAAAATATATGACAAGTGATTTAAACTAAAACACGTTGTCATATAATTGAGTACATGCCTGAATAAATGAAATGCATATATGCAAGGAATGTCCAAGGAGTTTGGGTGCGGGTACGTGTTGGGTCGGATGCGGCTTCATATTAGAAGTATCTAGGTAACATAGGCCCAAAACAAGAACACCTATATGCAATGTATGTGCACTATATTAGTCACATAAAGAATGTAAAGTATATTGCATAGTTCAAATGGGGTTCCACACTGATCTCATACTTCTAAAATTTCTCGCTTGTATTTTTTTTATTTTGGGTGGAACAGGAATACAGCCGCATATCACACTTTACCATCTAGATCTTCCCCAGGTCCTTGAGGATGAATATGCAGGATGGTTGAGCCCTAAGATTATGTAATTCTAAAGACTTCTCGTATCTCATCTGTAAGAAACATTTATAATTATGGAAGCTTCTCTAAATTTGTATAAATTGATTCAGAGATGATTTCAAAGAATATGCGGATGTGTGCTTTAGAGAATTCGGAGACAGGGTTTCTTACTGGACTACTCTTGACGAACCGAATATAATAGGTCAGGCATCTTATGATGCTGGATTTTTTCCACCACAGCGATGCTCTTATCCATTTGGGGCCGGTAATTGCTCAGCCGGGAATTCTACAGTGGAGCCTTATATTGCAGTCCACAACATGCTCTTAGCTCATGCAGCAGTTGTCAACCTATATAGGATCAAATATCAAGTCTTCACATTCTCCATCAATTTTTTGTTTTCTCTAGTCATTCTCAATGCAGAGAAACGTTCTAATAGTGTTGTGACTTCTTATGCAGGCTATGCAAAAGGGTTGCATAGGCTTGAATGTCTATACCTTCTGGTTCTCTCCTTTTTCAAATTCCTCTGCTGATGTTGAGGCAACACAAAGGGTCATCGACTTTATGGTTGGCTGGTAAGTTGATGACATTGTATAACATATTACCACTCTTAAGTTATCCTCTACTAATTAACTGCGCTATTCAAGGGTTATCAACCCAATAGTGTTTGGAGATTACCCCAAGATCATGAAGAAGAATGCCGGTCAGCGGCTTCCATCTTTTACCAATGATGAAGCAGAACAGGTGAAGGGTTCGTTTGACTTTATTGGAGTGAACCACTACACATCAGTATATGTGAAGGACAGCTCAAATGGTCCAGTGTCTGCGCCTCGCGACTTCATTGCAGATATGTTTTCCATAATCACAGGTTTTTATTTCTCTTTCCTGATAGGTATACGTACAAAATACAAATAATAATAGTATCTGACTTTACTAACTAAGAATCACACTTGTTCCAGATTCTAAGAATCATACACCAACTGGTCAGGTAAAAATTAGATTTCATCTTATATCACGTGGCTATTTGTAGGTTCATCTTTTGGCATGACACGCTAATACTATCTATTGTAACCAGTTCATCCCAACTCACATGAACAGTGATCCACCTGGGCTTCAAAAGATGCTGGGATATTTGAAACATGAGTATGGAAATCCACCTATTTACATTCAAGAGAATGGTAGGTCTTGACTACGTTCCATCATAATGCAAATAATTTGTTCAGTTAATGTAGAAAATGCATTCTCTAGTGTCTGTTGGAAAGATCCACGCCAACGAACTTGAAACTGTGTTTTTTTCCCTTTTTGGTTTTGCCTTTCATTTAATGATCATTGTTACTGAAACTACTATAAGATGTTGCTATTGTTTATGCTAAATAATGAATGCCGGTTATCAAGGTTTTAAATGTCAGATATCGGGTTCATGTCGGACAGCTAAAATTCATGTTGGATGGTAGAAATTGGGGATATGTCGGGGGACATGTACTAAATGTCAAATTGCCATATCGGATGAATTTCTACTCAAATTTGGTCACCAAGATGGAATGCACTTGTCTTCTTATAGTTTACCCTACTGGAGTTAAGTATTCAACATCAAGACACAAGTTGTTTTCCATTTCTTAAACGTAAACAATGGAATATTATGCCAACAAATAAACAAAATATACATTGTCAAACTGGAACTTTTGAAGTGTCTTGCATAAAATTAAGATAAAGTAATGTGTCTTGCATAAAATTGACATAAAGTGTTAAACTTAGGGTTGATTTCAAGCTACAGTTCAAACTTATTGTTCACATCATGCTTTTATGAATTCTCAATTTTAATATGTAGAGACAAAGACGGATGAGAGGAGATCGCAGGGGAAAAGAGAATAGCATTTTTTTCTTTGCCCTAATATGTATTCTATGCTATCGGGTTGCTATGGGAACAAAAGGCTAAAAAAAGTATCGATCGGGTTTAGGTTTTGAGTGCTAAACTCAAACACCAATACTTATCAACTCAAAAAAATAAAAGACCATTATATCAGCCGGTTTTTCAAGGCTGAAAATCTGCTGATATGTCCGCAATATCCCCCGACATGACCGACATGGAGCTCAAAAACCAAATTGAAATGGCCATATCCATGTCGCTCTAGCCTCTGATCTGACATTGTCGGCCACCATGTCTGACATGGCAGCCGACATTTAAAACCATGCTGGTTATAATATCATTGGTTAGATACATTTAGGTGGTTGATGGTTTTCTTTGACTAATGTGATGGGTTCATTTCAACATTTCTCCCAAAATCTACAAAATATTTGTCTATCAGGTCACGGCTTGGGTGTCACTGATGCCCTCAATGACATAGATCGCGTCAACTACTTGGATGGCTATATTGGAAGCACGCTACAGGCTATTCGGTATAACTGACTAAACAATCTCATATACTTGCATAGTTGTGTCCATAGAAGAAGAAGAAAACACATCAGTCAATTTGATGTTGTTTCCTCTGCTCCTTTTCTTATAGGGATGGATCAAATGTGAGAGGGTACTTCGTATGGTCATTCTTAGATCTTTTCGAATTTTTGGCTGGTTATGAATCAAGCTTCGGTCTGTATTACGTGGATTTTGACGATGCAAAGCGCAAGAGGCAACCAAAGCTCTCTGCACATTGGTACTCCAGCTTCCTCTCTAAGAAGAAAGATATCCTAACACAGAGGAGTAATTTTCAGGGAAGATACCATCAACAGTGATGTCCATAGGAGAATAAGGATTCATTTGATCCATCGAGAGCAGTTTGTTACTTTGGTTGCATATCATGATTGTCATATCGAATAAAGTTCTGTTTTTGTTGTATAAATATTGTTATCTGAGATATTGAAAAGAATATGTTTCTTTGTTTCCTTTTCAGTACAAGTAATTCACGGTAACTACTTTTATAAAATATCGAAACCAGCAATCATGGCAAACCAATGATATGGTAACAACTTCTACGATACTAAGCATGAAGAAGCAGGAAAATGTCATCACATTTGCATCGTAGAAAAGTTCACTTTGTTGAAAGTTCCAATAACAAGGATCACAAAGATAATAATAGCAAACAAAGCAACCAGGTTCAAACAATTACTTGGGTTACCCGTGAAATTGGACAGTAGAGCTTCCTCAAAGGTTCAAATTGAAAAACTGCACTTGTGCTCTCAGTATTCATGCATGAAATTCTTTGCAGAGCCACCGGAATACGCTTCAGGCATTTTATCGAACACCTCATATGCTGCACTGAATTTCCTCCTGAACTAAAGGATTTGAGGAAATATTACTCTACTAGTAAACAAGAAAGCAAACATTTTCAAAAAAAAATCAATTGGGTTACCTGAACATTGGGGGACTAGAGTTTCTTCATAGTTCCAAATCTCAAACTGAGGTGGTGCTCTCTGTGCTCATGCATGAAATGTACAGTTCAGACATTTTGTCGAACACCTCATATGGTGTACTTAATTTCGTTCCAAACTGAATCATTTATTGCACGAGTACAATTAGAATGAATGTTCAGATTGAGAAGAAATAAATGGAATAAAAGCATGATGACATTGATGTTCCCCCCACTATGAACCGTAGAGAGAAATAGGAACTTCCTTAGAAAACTGATCGTGATAGAAGAGAACATCGCAACTACAGTCTCGGAGCTTGTAATGTGAGAGGAGTTATCACTTATGAACTGAACAATATATTTTGTTCTCAAATTTGGGCTAAATCTAACTAGCACTTAAATACCTTATAGCTCTACTCACTTTGCACCCATACATCTTTTCTTATATAAATATGAAAATTTTCTTCCGAGTTATCGCATGACACTTAGAACTATGGCCTTTATATATTTTAAGTGGTTTACAACTGACAAACTAATACTTTTTATCATAAAAATATGAAAATTTTCTTTCGAATTTTCTAATATAACACTTGGAACCAACTAGAATGTGTCATAATTAAAACATCAGATGCAAATTTTCATGCTTGGTTAAAAATATAATCAATTTTGACAACTTCAAAACTATAAATGTCACGAAAATCGCAAATGTTAATATTAACATTATTATACTAATAACACATACCACGCAATCAACAAATATTTGTGCATTGAATTGGGCGGGGGCCGCGCGTACGCGTACCCCCTCGGCAACAAATTATGACGTCCACTCTCCCGCTTGGGGAGATGGTAGACCAGCGCACCCACTGTATGTGCAATGTGGGCCACTAATCTAGGCCTGGGCCTCCTTGATCACCCACGGACCCCGTCCAGGTAAGTATGGATCTTAGCAGGCCAGCGTCCTTGTCTTATCACCTTCTGGACCTCGCACGCTACACAGCGCAGCCGATGTGGGACTAAACTCCTACTCCCCGTAGGCCGCAGCAGCTTTTAAATCAAATTCGGCTATCAAACAGATAATGCAGCTTTGCGTTGCTCACGTGTTTCGTACGGAGCTTCATGGAAAACTATCCATTGGTGGCTTTGAGATTTCTTTTTGTTTTATGATTGTTGATTGATAAGAGGAGCAATAAGTTGTTTAAGTAAGAAATATATAGTAGAGAACTTCTTCATGTCCACTCTAATCACCTACTTAATTAGCTAAAGATCTTTAAAACAATGACCAGAGAAGAACGTGACATATAATAAGAGTAGAAACGCGGATAAGTTTGTGAATTTTGAATGAATGATTTTGAAATAAGCATATACAACTTTATGTGGAGAAAAATTCAAAGAAATGGAGTAAAGAGTGCGATGACAACACTAAATAATATTGAAAAAATTAGTAGCAAGCTGTTCTTGAGTGTTTATAACTCGTTTACAAATTTTTTGGAAATAAAAGAGTATTATTTGATTAATTTTCATGCCAGAGTGAACATGTAACACCGATTCTTTAATCTAATCTAAAAAATATAAGCATCTACTTACTGTTGGTCTACAATAAACCGATATATTTGCATTAGAAGATGAACCACTTTTTAGAGCAATGTAATAGACTGCCAACATTCTCACTGACAAAGAACATGAAAATCCCTCATTTATTTATTTTTTTATATAAAGAAAAATCTAGTTTCCTTTATAACTAAAGGAAAATCTTAAAGTGAACAGTAGACTTTCAGATTATCCACGTATTCAAAACCTATTTATACAAACCGTCTGTTGTGTTGAGCAATTCGCCACTCTTCCTGGTCACGTCGCTCAACTTCTCCACAAGAAGATTGCAGTTGCTCTACTTCCATATGTTTCCAGTTTATACACTCTGTTTTCCTCTTCCGCCTAAAGAAGATTGAAGAAAATTAATCAATTCCTCCTCCATTCACTTTTGGTGCCAATGAAAGAGACCCAATTGGTTCAATTGATTCTTCAACCGTTTGAACTGGGATATTAGGCTCAGAATCCTTCAATCCTCTTCAAAACTCATTTCCCCATTAATTTTCTCTCTGCTAACATCAAAAGGTTCCATTTTCTTTACTGCTTCAATATTCTTCTCCTCTTCCCCCTCCTCAATATTAGATTTTGAACACTCCTTTACCAAATCCATATCAATTCAATCTATAGATTATAAGATCCCCACACTTGATCCTAAATTATCATCAATAACAACAAATTCTTCTGGAAAAGTTCGAATTTGGAGATTGGATGATGAATTTGGAGGAAAAAGCGTACATGTAACTGATTATTTATCTGAATTAAGGTTTCCTTGGATTTGAAGATGGAAGGGGATCAGATTGGGATAGCGAGCTCTTGAATTATAACGGAACAAAAGAGGAGAAATGGCAGGTATAATATGATAAATTAATCTACTCATTTTCATTTTACGCCTAACCCATCTACTCATTTGATATAAACTAATTGCCTTATTATGTATCTATTCTGTAGTGCAACATAATGCTTTCAAAGTACTGACCAAAGATCTCAATGTCCAAGAGGCGATCATCATTGTAAGTTTATTTAGCAAATTCATATTCTATGAAGCTTTTCGTGTTGAATTAAGTTGTTATATTGTCCATAAATATTAGATTATGACTCTCTTTTCTTTGTCCATAAATGTTGATTTGGAATCTTCCTGATCGCTATTTGTATCATTCATAGATATTAAGATAAGTTATTATTTTGTCCATAAATGTTTATTTGGAATCTTCCTGATTGTTATTTCTATCATTCATAGATATTAAGATAAGTTATTATTTTGTCCATAAATGTTTAATCATATTATGTAGTTGTAATTATGCAAAAGTCTAACATGTATCTTGATTTTTTCCATAAATGTTTAATCATATTATGTAGTTGTAATTATGCAAAAGTCTAACATGTATCTTGAAACTTAATTTCCATACTTTTGTTAAAAGTAATTACAGTAGATTTGATCTTTTTTTATCTGTATATGTAAAAAGTTTGTTGTTTTATTTAAAGACTCTTTCTATATGTATATCTACCGCTACTATGATTATTGTGTTAAGTCATTGTAATTAAGAATACTATAAGATTTACAGGAGCATATATCGCAGTTGTCAAATTAAAATGTCAGGTTAGAGGATTACCGGATCCATGATGTTGAACTTCACAACTATATATATTATTTGAAGGGATAAGCAAGAGATTTAACTATTTGTGTCAAGAGATTTAACTATCTATGTTTCTGTTAATGCTCGTGAACAAACAGTCGATGGGGGTTGCAGAGTTGCTGGATCGTCGAGAGGGATGGAGGGCCGCTTTCCTTTTTCAACTTTATGTCTGGTTCTCAGAGCTTGGGGTGGGCGGATCACCTGCACACACAAAAATCACAGGAGTATGGGGTCTTGGTCCGGTAATAGAGGAATAGTATCCTCTTCTAATATGTAATTAGAGAATTTTTTTTAGGTAGTGATGGAGAGACCGAACCTCTTTTCAGGACGAATAGCGTCTGTATTTATAGAGGATGCCAAGGGCAGAACAGCTATTTAGTGAGGAGGTGGCTCATGATGATGGCGAGGAGTGAGCTGGAGGCTGAGTCATCCTCTACCCTATTCGTGTCGGTTGATGAGTGATGGCGGGTCACTTCAGCGACATAGGGAATCAGCAGCCGTTGAGCCTTGTCAGCGGGTGATGTGGAGTCACTTCTATGGCATGGGGAATCAGCAGCCATTGAGGCTTGTCAGTGGGTGATGTGGAGTCACTTCTGTGGCATGGGGAATCAGCATCCGTTGAGGCTTGTCTGCGAGTGACGTGGAGTCGTAATGATGATAATAAATGGTAAAATAATGTTGGGAAGTAACGTTCTGGGTCGCCTTTGGGGGAAGTGTCGGTCGGTTGCTGAGTAGCAATTTTTTGCTCGACTGAGTCCGCCTTTCGAGTCATCTTTGGGGAGTGATGCCGGTCAACTGGGTCTATTCTTGGGATATCATATTTGTAAGTAACATGGAATACCCCATAACAGTCAGCCCCTTTTGCTTGGATGCGGCTGTGATCGGATGCAAGAGAAAAATAAATGAACAGGGACTGGGTAGAATTGATTCTGAGAAGGCCCTTAGAGAGGCCGCCGAGGAAGTCGTTCAGTCGAGCCTCTTCTCAATTGAACAACTGAGGCGGTCTCTCAAGGAAGCACGGTTTGTGCCATATAGGGCGAAAGTAATTGAAGATTGACACCACAGCCCCATTAGAAAACTTGAGGTAGCTTTGGCGTGTAAAGACGGGGTTGATTATTTCACCGCTTTAGTACCCCCCAGCTCACACCCTCATTATGGGAGCTTTTATCCCTTTCGAGTCTCCTGTTGTCTCGATCTTCTTAGGGATTTCGAGGTGAGAGAGGGAAAATTGCTGTTGGGTGATGAAGGTGAGTCTTCAGAGGGCGAGGATGAGGAACCGGCAGCTGTTACTCCACTGATGGGAGAGGGGACTGAAGCCCTCGCGATGCCTGATCCTTCCACTGATGTCGGCGTTCAGGGCCAATAGGGTTCGACACTTACCGATACGGCCGCTCCACCTCCAGAGGACCTCGTAGGTCAAGAAAATGAGAACTAGTTATATTTCCTTCCTCCCCTTTTTTTTGCCATTGTAAATGTACTTTTGACTTCGTAAGGGGGTTAATGAAGAAGTAGGTTTGTTTTGAGTGTTTAAAAACTCTTAAAGATTTTTCTTTTATTTTTGTTCAATCGAAGGGTGATAAAGGGATCGACCCCAAGGTTGTGCTTAGGCCCAAGAGAGCCGATTAGGTCTTACCTTTCCCCTAAGGCCGAGAGGTGACTGTGGGAGTCGGCCAAAGGGTTGTGCCTTGGTCTTACCCTGAGGAAGTACGAAGGGCTTTTTATCGACTAAGGAGTCGGGTGCCTAGTTGACTAGGTCGTCCATTTTCCCCTAGGGCCGAGAGGTGACTGTGGGAGTTGGCCAAAGGGTTGTGCCTTGGTCTTACCCTGAGGAAGTACGAAGGGCTTGTCATCGACTGAGGAGTCGGGTGCCTAACTGACTAGGTCTTCTATTTTCCCCTAGGGCCGAGAGGCGACTGTGAGAGTCGGCCAAATGGTTGTGCCTTGGTCTTACCCTGAGGAAGTACCAAGGACTTTTCATCTACTGAGAAGTCGGGTGCCTAGCTGACTAGGTCTTCCATTTTCCCCAGGACCGAGAGGCAACTGTGGGAGTCGACCGAAGGGTTGTGCCTTGGTCTTACCCTGAGGAGATATTGAGGTCTTTTTACCGACTGAGGAGTCGGATGCCTAGCTGACTAGGTCTTCCATTTTCTCCTAAGGCCGAGAGGCAACTGTGGGAGTCGGCCAAAGGGTTGTGCCTTGGTCTTACCATGAGGAAGTACCAAGGACTTTTCATCGACTAAGGAGTCGGGCGCCTAGCTGACTAGATCTTCTATTTTCCTCTAGGACCGAGAGGCGACTGTGGGAGTCGGCCGAAGGGTTGTGCCTTGGTTTTACCCTGATGAGGTACCAAGGTCTTTTTACCGACTGAGGAGCCAGGTGCCTAGCTGACTAGGTCTTCCATTTTCCCTAGGACCGAGAGGCGACTGTAAGAGTCAGCCGAAGGGTTGTGCCTTGGTTTTACCCTAAGGAGGTACCGAGATCTTTTTACCGACTGAGGAGTCGGGTGCCTAGCTGACTAGGTCTGTTATGGTGACGCAAAAGTTTGGCTAAACCCCTTTTTATCAAATATATTAATCATCTAAAGCATGCATTCTTCTTAGGAAATTTTCAAAATTCAAGAGATTTGAGTTAGAATTCTAAAGAAAATACCGTCGTAGGTGTTCAATATTCCATTAGGTGACTGAGGATTCATCCATCTGGAGCTCTCAACCAGTAGGTGCCG